GGCCAATTATTTGGTAGTTTATAAAAGATGGTGGTATGTCGTGTAAATAGATACCAAACATGACATGCTTTAAAACTGTGCATACCCGTGCAATGGCGACAAACTGCGTACGTTTTTAATATTTATAGGCAACAATTTAAAAGCCTTTACAAGCTACCATTTTAGATTTACAGAGGAGGTCTAGTGTTAGAATTACTGCCCTTGATCTGATGTTCACGGCGATACCTCTCATGCATGGTGCAACCACTGTTTACATACTGGCACAGGGCAAAAGCACGCAGGTCCACATGGGGGGCAGGGGTGGTTTTTTTTTTTTTTTTTGTAAATTATTTTGATTTTTTAAAATTATTTTTACATTGTCCCTTTTGTTTTTTTTATCTTTATCACTTTTAATGCTATCAGAGGGAATGCAAATATCCCCTATAACTTCAATGGGCATTGTCATATATTAGTTTTTGAGAAATCTGGGTTCTATCATACTCTAGATATCTCCTCTGCCCTTACATTATCTAATCAACCCAAAATCGGTGTGATCAGATGCTTTCCCAATTTACAAATGGCGCTGTTTATATCCTGCGAAACTGAAGTGATGAAATGCTCGTAGCTTCTGATTTCTTAGACTATAGAGATCATTGGCACCATTCTGGTCTCCAATCAGCTCTATGGTCAGCTGGCAGAAACACCGGCTGCATTCTCAGGTTCCCCCGATGGCATGGGACTGCCCGAGAAACCCGTGGAAGGCAGCGGGGGAGGGGGGCACCTTCTCCTGCTGCTTGTAAAAGCAATCCTGCAGCTAAGTAGCCACTAGGATTGCTTTAACATGAAAGCCGATCGCCAGCTGAAAAAAAACTATACCAGGATGATACCAGGCATCATTCTGGTTATAACCACTCAAAGTCCAGTGATGTACCAGTACGTCGCTGGTCTTTGTTGGGTGTATATGCTATTTTTTTTATGCAGCCTGTGGACTGAATGAAAAAAACAGAAGAAATCTCTGCCAGAAAAAGTGTGTGGTATGCCCACCATTAGAATATTCCTCCCTGCATCCACCCACTTCTAATGGTGGGCACACATGAAATGTGCCAACAAATATTATAAAATATGTATGCCAAAGCATAGGGGCCATCCACCCACTGGCCTCCGCAGACCCCCATGCTTCGGCATATATGCTCTTTTTTTAACTGCGGATGAAAAATCTCATCCGACAGCACTGCACACACCTACTTATGTATATTCTGAGCGCAAGACCCTGTTGCTGTCAGAATAAACAAGTTGGTGCTGCAGCTGAATGACATCCTCATTTCTCAAGCAGGCTTTTTCCTCCTTTCTAAGACGGGTATTTACAAGCTGTTGGGGGAAACCCTGGCGATTAGTTCGCGGTAGGCGATTAGTTCGTGGTAGGCAAATGCGGCTAAACACGTTTTTAACCTAAGTTTTCTAGCAATCATTTTCCAACGTTCAGAAAAGTTTTTCAAATGCCCTATGTAAGCTGTGGTAAACTTGTTTAAAAAAAGAAAAAGTTTCCTGCTGTAAGGGAATATCATAATGTGTTCGTATCGCATACTAGCACATTATGAAAGGTTTACCTTAGAAAGAAGCCCTCCAGCAGCGTTCTGTCACCACAGACAGGGCTTTCATGTTCACCCGGTCTTTCTTCCAGGTTCACGGGCTGCTGCTGCTTGAATAGCCGAACCACTGATGATGTCAGTCCTCTATGGACTGTAATGGGAGCACCTCAAATACATGCGTTTTTTTTTTGTTTTTTTTTAGGCTTAGCAGCCAGTCTCCTCCTAGTAACCTGTATTCTATTGGTCTAAACAGAAATGCTTTATGCTTGAAGACATACAAAAACGCGTCTAGATACCTATAGGAGCTGATGTTCAGGTGTGAACCTAGGACTTTCAGTAGTTGAAGTATTAGGCTCCATGCACACTGGGTGTTTTAATAACGTTGGTAATGTTAGCTGTGTAAAGTCACATTTGAAACGTGCGGGGGTTTTTTACATTAACGGTTTGCCGTATTTTTTCATGTTTGTGTTTTTTAGTGGTTTTTTTGACCAAAAAAATGTTTTGTGCATGAGGACTTAAAGTGTTACTAAACTCACAACAGTAAAATCAGTCTGTATATGCAGTAAACATGCTTGTTGTACTCACTGTGGAACCTAAGTTGTTAATCCTCCGCATTGTGTTAAAAGGATGTTTGATCCTATTTTCTCTGATTCTCCCCTTCTTCTGTCCCCAATCCATCTGCTGATAGAACAGAGCCTTGGGGGCTAGCTGCACATGCTCAGTTTGGTGTGTATTGCTAGAGAGTTTTTTTTTCCTTGAGAGAGTGCATGTGATCAGCACAGGACCAATCAGCACTGTGCAGACAGAGGGTCTGGGGTCATGCAGCTTCATAAGACAATCAGGGGAGAATGCAAACTCCTACAAGCTCTAACTAGTGCACTGCTGGGCACTGATAGAAGTCACAAAACTGCCCTAACTGCTGATGAGAAAGGTTTAGCAGTTTATATTTACTAAAATAATTGTATTTCCATGTTGTATGTGCTGTGGAAGACCAGATATAGTGAATGCAGGGTCCTGGGTTTAGTAACACTTTAAATTGGAACTCAACACATCGATTTTACTGTTTCCCAAAACAGTTACATTAACCTCTTCCCTAACGCGCTAAAGCTGAAAGACGACTACAGTGTGGTTGTCTAGTTCTGGTACGACGTCCATGGACGTCATTCCAGAACACGCCGCCGGTGATATGGTAAACGGTCAATCACAGCGGCCTTTTACCACGTGATCAGCTGTGTCCATTGACACAGCAGATCACTGGGTAAATACAGTTGCCGGTTATCGGCTGCACTTTCCTCACGTTGTCACAGCTCGAGGAAAGTACTGTCAAGAACCAACAATTGTCAGAGAAGTGATCGGCACTGATAACCTGTGCCCTGCAGTGCCACCCACCTGTGCCCTGCAGTGCCATCCAGCAGTGCAGCATCATCAGTGCTGCCTATCTGTGCCACCTCATCAGTGCCCTGCAGTGCTGCCTATCTGTGCCACCTCATCAGTGGCCATCAGTGCTGCCTATCTGTGCCACCTCATCAGTGCCCATTAGTGCAGCCTCATTAACGCACATCAGTGAAGGAGAAAAATTACCTGTTTGCAAAATTTTATAATAGAAACAAAGCATAACTTTTGTTTTTCACATTTTCTGCTCTTTTTTTGTTTATAGCGGAAAAAAATAAAACCCCCATTGGTGATTAAATACCACCAATAGAAAGCTCTATTTGTGTGAAAAAAAAAAAGAAAAATATTTCATATGGGTACAGTGTTGCATGACCGCGCAATTGTCATTCAAAGTGCGACAGCACTGAAAGCTGAAATGTGGCCTGGGCAGGAAGGGGGTATAAGTGCCCAGCAGGCAAGTGGTTAAAGGCATGCTGTAAATAACTGCCACAGTTGCTTGTGATCTGAACTGAGCTGTCAAGCCATCAAATGGCTGTTGTGTTTACTGATCATGTGTGGCAACTGCAGATCAAAGAGAGGCTATGAGCTGATTCACATTAATGCGGTGCCGATTGAAGCTCAAGTTTATTGATACAGTAGCTGTTTACAGGTTCATGTCAGGTTTACATCAGGTTCAGGACAGTATTAGCTCAGAATCTTATCCTGTTCACACATATGCGCTTTTAGGAACGTTCACGTCAGGTTTACATCAGGTTCAGGACAGGATTATCTCAGGGTCTTATCCTGTTCTCACATATGCGGTTTTAGGAACGGTTCACGTCAGGTTTACATCAGGTTCAGGACAGGATTATCTCAGGATCTTATCCTGTTCACACATATGCGGTTTTAGGAACGGTTCACGTCAGGTTTACATCAGGACAGGATTATCTCAGGGTCTTATCCTGTTCTCACATATGCAGTTTTAGGAACGGTTCACGTCAGGTTTACATCAGGTTCAGGAGAGGATTAGCTCAGGATTTTATCCTGTTCACACATTTGTGGTTTAGAATGGTTCCCATAGAAGTCAATGGCCTGTAATCCGCACCTGAACCTGAAGCCACTGCTCAGGATCGTACATGACTCTTTTTTTAAAATCGCACTGAATCTGCAGCGGTAGTGCACTGGACATATATGAACAGGCACCATAGGAAGCAATGTTATTTCACATGTCATGTGGATTGGATGCGGTTCAAACCACATCCAATCTGCATATATGTGAACGGGCACCAAGATGGCAAATTCCTTGGCTGTACAATATAAAAGGGCTTGTTTCACTTTCATTTGAATAACCGTGTCAACTGTATTATCTGAATTGTGGACAGAAAGGTAGAATAGTTGTGATTGATAAAAGCAAGGCAGGTGTTCATACAGTGCTGAAAATGTCAGGTAGACATCAGACTTCTGTCCGGAAGCAGAGTTGAGGGGGCTCTAACTTCAGAGTACAGCAAGCGTATTACACAGAGGACACTGATATGTAAAAGGACCAGCTGTGCATCCAAAGATTTAGTTGTATATGGTAAATGTAATTATTTGAAACAAAGGATTTTGTTTTTTTTCTGCTTCTTTTTCCTTCATCTGTTTATTCTGAAAGCTGTTTAACATTTTCATGATTTTTGCTTATCATTCTTAATATATATTATTTTGTCTCTTTAGGGCCCCTTTGCAATCATGGAATATTAAGAAGAGGAACCGTCTTCAGAGTGGGGGGGAGTTCCCCTCCCTCTGGCCTAGCTGCCCCCTCTTTGTATTGGACTCATGGCAGGAACTTAAAAACAGAGAAATATAGTGCACAAATATATTTTTGTATAGTTGTTGAACAGCATTGGCTGGTTTACATTTGTATAAATATTTATTATAAATAATATAGTGCCAAAGCAGTTTTGACACTCGTAAATGAAGGAGACAATGTTTGATTTTTTGTGTGGCTGATGTGTACTTTCGGAATTTGCGTATTTGCAATTATTTTCAGTCATTTTTATTTTGAAGCATTTTTCCCCAAAAATGGATTTGGCATGGCCAGAATGTACGACACGGTGTCGCTCTCTGCAGCATGCTTTGGATGTGATCTCGGTAGTGACCCGAGGAAGCGGGAAACAAATCAAGGCTTTCCTTTCCTTTTACTGCTGCAATGCCACTACGTTAAAGGATGAATACGGACGCAATGCTCTTCACATTGCCGCATCATGTGGAAAGAAAGAAGTGTTGGATTGGTTGGTATCAAAAGGTGTAGACTTGTTGGTCAAAGACAAAGAATCTGGGTGGACAGCATTGCACAGAAGTATCTTTTATGGGCACATTGATTGTGCATTGTCCCTCCTAAAGGTAATGTATTTCTTTAAACCTTTCAACAAATGATCTAAAGATTGACTGTTGACTCTTGCTTTTTGTGTGAAGGGCTCTTTCATTTGTATTTTCAATAGTACATTTAATTATTATTACTTTAAAGCATAAAAAAACTACTTACAGTAGACTGTATGTTTGGATGAGCTGACAACCTTTCTTTACAGGGATCTTTGCTGTAGGCTGAAAAATCTTGCTTGTTGTGGCCAGGCTGCTCCACAATTTTTTGTGGCTACATAAGTATACTGAAAACTTTGTCTATATCAGGGGTATCCAAACTTTCTAAACAAAGGGCAGGTTTACTGTCCCTCAGACTTTAGGGGGGCTGGACTTTGGTTAGTGGGAATAGAAAATTCCATGGTGGTAGTAGACAATGTTTCCCGCTGGTGGTCAGTAGGGGGAAAAAAAACAACAGCACCTGTGGTCAGTAGGAAGACTAGTGCCCCCATTATCTGTGTCAGTAGGGGGAGTAGCACCCCATCGTTGGTGTCAGTGGGAGTAAAAATGCCCCATCATTGGCATCAGTGGGAGTAATAGTATCACATCATTGGTATCAGTGGAAGGAATCATGATTATGATAATTAACACTTGAAACTTTAATTTAAAGATAATAGTTTATTATAAGTTTTTACTAAGTGACACATTCATAATCATGATTGTCATTTTATACGGTTTTGCTTCTAGTATATTTTCTTGTATTGTGTTAGATATGTAGGTTGTTTTTATTAAGCACATGCATTGGGCAGTGGTAATCACTCGTCCTTTTGTATTAGATATAACAGCTGATAGCCATTCTTTATAATTGGCCCTTAAGGGAGTGATAGACCACTACATAATGGTGTGCTGCGCTACAAGTGATTAACTATGAGTAAGGTCTCGTTTGACTGAAATGCGTTAGTGTTACTTGTATTCTGGAACCATTTTATACTCCACATTCGAATAAAGCTTCCACTATTTCATCTTCACCTTGTTGCCGATCCTATATGATTTGACGCCTGCATTTCTGTCAGATAATGCTCCACTTTGCCCAGAAAATTGTTGCAATTACAAATGTAGCAAGTGGTGAAAGAAGAGCAATCCAAAATTCCAGCAGATAGGTGTAATAAACTAATTGATGGTTACAGGAAGAGATCAATTCAGTTATTTTTTCCAAGAGGTGTGCTACCAAATATTAAATTGAGGGTGCCAATAATTTTGTTCAGTCCATGTTTTACATGGAATGTGTCAAATTTGGCTTTTTGTTTTTCCATTTTTGTGACATACCAATACAAACAAAATAAACATGGGTATGCCTAAACATTTGTAATTACAACAATTTTCTTGGTGAAGTGGTACATTATCTGACAGAAATGCATGGGTGCCAATATTTTTTGCTATGACTGTATAATTGCACTTCAAAATTACGGTTTGTGTTATTTAATTGGATCTCATGGATCTCATTGTTTAAACAAAGACCTTTAGGCGTTGCTTATAGCATTCAGATTCCCTGGAGACGTGAAATGGGTAGTGTTAAAGGATATGGCTAACACTGATGGCATTTGTTTTGGACACTTTTTCATGCATGGGGCCCAATATATTTTTTAGGAAACTTGTTGTATGGCCTCCCTTACAAGGGAGACTGCCATCATCTAATCTCGGGAGAAGTGCTGCTTTTAGTGCCAGCACATTTCCCTATGAACTACAATTTCTTCTGAGATTCAAGCAGCGACTTCTGACTGCTCTAGATTGGAGCCTTATTTCAGCCAGGTAACATATGGGGCTGACAGATTTTAGTATACTTTGGTGAACAACACTTTGTGAATTGTCACTTCATCTGCTTTTCTGTGTACTTCCAGCATGGCAGTAATCCGCTCGTTCAGGATAAAGATGGATTTTCTGCCTTGGATCTTGTAATGAAAGACCGTCCTTCCTTTGTTGTTTTTCAAAACAGTGGTGAGTGTATCATTTTTTTCTTCCGCTGAGACTTTTCAGCACTCACATTTATTTCGCTTGTCGATTACTGTTATGGTAACTTAAGTTCCGTTGCTGAATAGTATCAGGTGCTATATATCATGCATTGGAAATAAAGTGTAGTAAATATCATTCATTACATATAAATACTGTTTTCTGTATTCAGTTTTTCTTTCTTTCTGTCTTTTTTTTTTTTTTTAAACCTAACCCACAGTACATATGACTTGCCTGAGGTGTGACAATTTAATTCCCGGAATGGACTGTTTTTTACCAAAAAGTCAAAATGTTTTATTGAATAATAAAAAAAAAACCCATAACATTACAATATAAAGCATTGAATTGTACAAAAGTTGAACACAAATGTTTACAAACAACCAAGCAAACTAAGAAAAAGAACAACTCCAAGGTGACTACTAAAAAGTGTGTAAGACTGATCAGAACACAGTAGTGTAGAACTGTACAAACTACTAATTTGCCAGCAGCAAAAAACAGTCAGCACAGCCCCAACTGAAGAAGACATGCCTATATCAGGGAAGACTATGTATGGGATAGATAGATATATAGATATAGATATATATATATATATATATATATATATATATAGAGAGAGAGAGAGAGATAGATACATCTATATGGATAATAAGAAAAGAACAAATGTGCATCCAATATATGAAACTAATGCAAACATACTTTAAGTGCAGGTGTCAGCAGATTGCAGCCAACGATCCCAGATTTTGTAATATTTGGTAGGGCGGCCTCTATTGACATACACTGTATTGCCAAAAGTATTGGGACACCCCTGCAAATCATTTGATTCAGGTTCAAATCACCTCCATGGCCACAGGTGCATAAAATCAATCACCTACACATGCAGACTGCTTCTACAAACATTTGTGAACGAATGGGTCACTCTCAGGAGCTCAAAGAGTTTAAGCATGGTACCGTGATAGGTTGCCATTTGTGAAATTTCCTTGTTACTAAATATTCCACGGTTAACTGTTCATGGTGTTATAACAAAGTGGAAGCAACTGGGAACAACAGCAACTCAGCCACGAAGTGGTAGGCCACGTAAAATGACAGTGGGGTCAGCACATGCAGAAGCACACAGTGGACAGAAGTCGCCAACCGTCTGCAGAGTCAATAGCTAATGGCCTCCAAACTTTGTGTGACATTCTTCTTAGAGCAGAGACTGCGAGCCAGGCCTTCTCGTCTGACATCAGTGTCTGACCTTATAAATGCGCTTCTGGAAGAATGGTCAAACATTCCCATAGACACACTCCTAAACCTTGTGGACAGCCTTCCCAGAAGAGTTGAAGCTGTTATAGCTGCAAAGGGTGGGCCAACTCAATATTATATATAAACAGTGCAGCGCTATGAATGTGAATAAATATATATATCTCACAACCAGTACAACAAACTCCCCAGTGCACAAAGGGGTTAAACTATTAAAAAGTGCAACATGTACATTCCCACCGGGAATATAAAATATGTGAAGGTGATCAGTGTCCTATCAACACTCAAAAATCAAAAACATCAAATCACTCTACCGTAAATAAAATTAGCACAATTATACAACAAATCAAATGTCCATAAAAGGTGCTCAAACGATAATATTCATGCAAGTGCTGCTAGGTGCTCACTCCGTGCAATTCCTTAAGTAGCCGAAGTGCCCCCTCACCTCCTTAAATCGACCCCACAGGGTCAGCTCGCTCTGAGAATCAGAACCCCTCTGATCGGCCACAGGATCCTGTTCACATCCACTCACAGATCCTCCAATCCTTATATGCACAGCTCTGTCAGCAGCAACCCCTCTGGATCATACACAAACAAAGAACCTCCATAGTGTAAAACCGCATTTTTATTTGGTAAAAACAGTAGGGAAAAAATGCCCACTCACATGCTTTCTTCTTTAACATAGCTCTTTACCTCATGCTATAGATGTATTGCATGGGTATTAATACAGGGATTTCAAATATGGCCCCCACGCCGGAAACGACGTCACCGCGCTCCCGGAAATACCTCCTTGCGTACCGATGCGTTGTCACGCTGCCACATGACTTCCTCAGGGACCCTTTTTTACAGGAGTTTAGTACCTCCTCCCATTCCTCATCCCCAATGGCCCCTGTGTCGGTCTCCCAATGAGATTTAATAGCGTAAGCCAGGTCAGAGGCTTTTGGGGTGAGGAGAAGCTCCTACAGAGTGGAGATCAATTTTCAAGGTTCTTCCCCATACACCACGTCCAGTAAAGATACCGAGGAGAGAACTGGGAAGCTGTCAGTAAATTGAGATTTTAAGGCATGTTGTACCTGTAGGTAATGGAATAACATATAATTGGGGAGGGAGAACTCTTGTTTCAGAACCTCAAAGGTTTTTAACACCCCATTAGATAGTACATAAGAGAGAAGGTATACACCTCTAGAAATCCACAGCCTGTGGTTTGGAATAGTTAGGAGTTCCGGCAATAACTGATTGGACCAAAGAGGAGCATTTATCTTAGAGGTGAAGAGATCCCAGCTTCTTTTATAATGGAAGGCCACCCGTTTAGTAGACAGAATGGGTGCAGACTTGTTGGAATTTCCGGGTCAGAAACTAAAGCACAAAATCTCTTCCTGTCAGTTTTATCAATATGGTAGAGATGGGAAAGTTGGACTGCTAGATAATACAGACCAAGGTTCGGTAAGGCAATAACCCCAGGGAGGTTGAGTTCTTGTGTATGCGCCATGCCAGTTTATGTCGGCTGCTGCCTCAGAGGATTTCAAGATCATGTCCGTAGCCTTAAAGTACCTAAGTGGGATATAGACTGGAGAATACCAAAATACAAAAAGGATTTTGGGCAACAGGACCATTTTTTACCAACCCAATTTTACCCATAACCCCTAATGGTAGTCTTGTCAAAATTTTGCATTTTGCCTTAAGAAGGGAAAAAAAGGGGCTCCATATGCAGGCCAATGTAGTCAGCAGGTGAGCTAGATATTTATTGGTATTAACTCACTGTAATGGAAAGCAGGTTTGGTCAGCAGAAGGGGAGATTAAAAAAGAAATCTGAAGAATATATTTAAAAAATATATATTTTTAAAAATGTATTTTTTTTTAAAAATATATTTGTCAGCTTTTTTTTAACATAAAAAAGTCATTTTAACATATATTTTTACATATATTTGTAAATGCATTCCAAAAATGTAGATTTGTATTTTTAAAGACATAAAGTATATTTTAAAATTTGTTTTATATATATTTTGTAATAAAAACGCATTTCAACATACAGTTTATATATTTATTGAAATATATTGAATTTGGCCAAAATTGTAACAATTGAAATATATGTCACTATATCTGGGAAGAATATTTTTAAAATATATTTCAAATATATTTTTTTTTTTTCATATGGGGAAGTTCTGCCGCTAAGATGTATAATAGGGGTGAAAGAGAACACCCTTGAATGCCGGAAACATTCCTGGAATTTTGTTTTCTGGAATACTGCTCAGTATCTCTGTCACAGCACGCTGGATGTCCAGAATGTCATCACATATGTGGCCTTTAATAGCATTTTTAAATTTTGGAAAACAGCCAAAAGTTACAGGATGCCAAGTCAGGGAAATAAGGTGCTTGCTCAAGTTTCAGAATAGATTCTGGGCCAGGAAATCGTGAACATATATGACTGTGCAGGAGCATAGTCATAGTGGAGAATCCACTTGACAGGCTAGAGTTCCAGTTTTTCCCTCCAAACAGATTCTCATAACCTTTGTCCACATTTGCATCCTTCCTTTGCTTTTTTGGCTGCCCACTTCTTGCTTCATCGAGGACACTTTTATCCCCTTCTTTAAACCACCTAAGCCATTCAAAAACACTTGATTTCTTTATGGAATGTTCACCATAAGCCTGTTTAACAGGTTTTTCCCTCACATTTTTGCCAGTTTTAACCCAAAATGTGATATTAATCCGCTGCTCCAGATTCTTGTCACTCATTTTCTGCCCACAGTGCAATGCACACACGTGTTACTTCTTCTACTACTCCATAAAGACTGAGTCAACTGGTCTGTGACCCAGGAGAGTGCAAATGAAAACATGTCAGAACATGCAAAAGGATGTGTGACTCACAACCACAGTGCTACGCTGCAGGCATTCCAGGAATTAAATTGTCACACCTCGTATTACTAATGCGCAGTAAATAAATTTATCTAAAAATTGTTAAAAGAACCTTCTCCAAATGCTTGCAGCAACACAACTTACACCCACTGCCTGCTGAATGGAGAGCGAAAGAGCAGCATCACGCTGTTGAGGTCATCCTTCTGTTCATTCTGCTTTTCTTTCCTCTTATCGTGTTCTCTATTGGTACATGTCCAGACAGAAAAACCTGACTGGCTCCCAATACTCACTCTTTTTCCTCCAGACCAGGTGCTTTTGCATAGGAGATTACATTAGGAGGTTGGGTACTAGCCTAGGCTTGTATGTAAAGGAAAACTTTCATCAAAATAGTCATGGAGGCTGCATTCTGCGAATGCGTGTTGTTTCACTTTCCTATTGACTTTCTTTCAAAGCTCTGAGTTACTGATAAGGACTTCTCACTTTTCTCTGATTTTCTTCAACTGCATACTTGCTTCAGGTCAGAGACTTAGAAATGATTGAAACAAGATGGTGAGCATAACAGACAGGCAAGTAGTGTTTTCAGGAGGGCAGCTGTGGCAGCTGCCATATTTCTAAACTGAAAGTTTTCTTTTGAAAACAAATCTGATTTTAACAAATGTTTAAATGCATTGAAGCATAACTCCCAGGTTTGATTGAACTTTAAAGTCTTACTAAACCCACAACCATAAAATCAGTCTGTATATGCAGTAAAGCATGTTTGTTATACTCCCTGTGGAACCTAAGGGGTTAATCCTCTGCATTGTGTAAAAACGCTGTTTGATTCTGATCCTCCCCTTCTTCCAGTGTCCACCTCTTATCTCCTGATAACACATATCGTGTGGAGTCACTCTGCACATGCTCAGTTTGATGTGTATTGCTAGAGTGCAGCATAGGGCCAATCAGCACTGTCCGTACAGAGGTCAGGGGTTCTGTATCCTAGAGCAGAATGAAAACTCCTACAGGCTTTAAAATGTGCTCGGCTGGACACTGATAGAAGTCACAAGACTGCCCTAACCGCTGATGAGAAAGGTTTAGCAGTTTATATTTACTAAAATAATTGCATTTTCATGTTGTATGTACTGTGGAAGTCCTGGTTTACACCAATGCGGTGCAGCAAACGTTGTGAATCCTGTGCAATTCCCGCACCGCATTGCAGTCGCATCGCGTTCATGCGATCTGGTGTAGGTGCCACTGATAAATGAATGACACCCTGAAACAGATTGCAAAATGCGATTGCCAGAAATCGCATTGGTGAGAACACCCATGCGATGCGACTCAGGTGCGGATTTAAAAAAGGGTCCTGCACCTTTTTGGTGCAGATGCAATGTATTTTGAGCCATACAAAGTGTATGGCTCAAATCGTATCACACATACATTTGCATATAATCTGCACAGGAATGCGGTGCGGTTCCTTTGCAAATTACATGCTGTGTCCTTCACCACATAGCGTGAACCTGGGGTAACTGCTGATGAGAAAAGGTATTTATCAATTTATATTTACTAATATAATTGTATTTCCATGTTGTTTGTACTGTTGGAGACCAGATATAGCAGGGTCCTGGGTTTAGTAACACTTTAAATAGTTTGTTTGGACCAACCTGGTCCAATCAGTTTCCTTCACTAACAGGCGCATTTGCTGTCAGCACTGTGTAAACTGTATATAGCATCAGCAGGCCTTGACAAATTTGCTTTGAATATAGGAGCCAGGTAAAAAATGTAGTAGCCCTTTTTTTTTTTTTTTTGTCAGCGCCCAGGGCAAGGCAACTTTTTGGCAGAATGCTTCTTACAATGCTATTTGCCACACAACAATCATGGCAAAACCGCACCACATTTTAGACTCCATTGAAAATAATGGCAACTGAACCTGCGTTTTGCAATCACAACAATTATGCCTCGATCCCAAAGCACCCACGTGTGAATGGAGCCGCCCTGGTTTGCACTTATGCGATTCTGGATGCGCTTTCAAACTCACAGATTAACAGGACAGGCTAGATATCATGTGTTCTAGTGAGGTGGTTCACACAGATGCGATCCACATGCATTGTGTTTGAGTGCCATTTTGAAAAGAGTGCTGTGCGAGTTTGTAGTGGCATGTTTTTGCAATAGAGTCAATGGGAGGAGATTTTGGATTGAAGTCAATGGGAGGCGATTTTGCATTGAAGTCAATGGGAGGCAATTTTGCATTGAAGTCAATGGGAGGGATTGAAGTCAATGGGAGGCGATTTTTGCATTGAAGTCAATGGACACGATTTTCCATTGAAGTCAATGGGAGGCTGTTTAAACCCAAGCACCAGGATGCAATTTCTAGTCGCCATGGTAAACGGGATTTGTTGAGCCCCGACATACAGTGTCTACAGTGGGAGGGAGTCTTCGCCTCCATGTACCCAGAACAAAATTGAGTCAATCCGAGCATTTCTCAGCCATTCAGAGGAAGCTTTGCATTTTCTGAATGAATACAGGGCTTCCTCTGATTGGCTGAGATGCAGAGCATGACATTATCCACTCACCCCTCCAACTCAGCCAATCAAAGGAAGCCTTGTATTCATTCAGAAAATGCAGAGCTTCCTCTGAATGGCTGAGACATGCTCAGCCTGACTCAATACAGCACAGCGCTGTATACTGCATGTAGCTGATGCTACATTCAATTTTTACTGTGCTGACAGCAAAGGCATCTGTTAGTGAAGGAGTGTATGTGTGTGATAGATATAGATCTATATATAGATATACAGATATACACACGCACACACTGTATATACTCAGACCCACACCTATTCAGTTATGTCCAAAGATGGTTAATTTTGCTGACTAATGCAGATGTATTTTTTTCTTAGATCCCACTGAAGTTTACACTTGGGGAAATAATATTAATTTCACTTTGGGGCATGGAAGCCAACAAAGTAAACATCATCCTGAACTAGTGGACATGTTTCCTCGCTCAGGCATATATATCAAACAGGTATCATTTATTATTAACTGTAAATACAAGTAAATATGTTATTTTTGAAGCCCTATTTTCATTAGCTATCTGCATTTTTGACTTGAAAGAGACATCTTTGCTGTGTTTATAGCCACTAGTACTGACAGAGAGATAAAAAGCTCATACAACAGTATCAAATACTAGTTGGTAATGCTGATCTTGTGGAGTTTATACAAGATAAATTAGGAATGTGGTTATGTGGTACAATTTAACCACATCCCATCCGGCCGTTGTTTATAAACGGCCGGAAGGTGGCAGTGCGGGGTCGGGTGGCTGTTTATAAGTGGCCTCCCCGCCCCCTGCTTGTGCGCGCGCCCTGGGAGCGGTCAGCACCGCAATCCGGTGCCCGCTGTGTCCTCCGAACACAGTGGAACACCGATCGTCGTACGAGACCTCTGTGCGAGGTCCCAATTATGTTATCACTGATTGGCCAATCAGTGATCACATGCAGAGTAGTAAGCAAGATGTCACTTCTGACATCATTGCTTACTACGTGTGAAATCTGTGAATGATCACAGAGGTCACATGGTACAAGGCTATTCACAACAGCCTTGTACCATGTGACAAGCTGTGACCAATCACAGCTCACACAGTAGTTCTCAATGGCTGCAAGAATGCAGACAGAAAGAGAAATGATTGCTTTTACAGCCTTTATGGGTGTAAAAGCAATCAGTGTTAAAAAAAAAAAATCTTCATCACCCCCCACAAGTAGTATAGTGTCACCATGGTGACACTGTACTGCTAGGGTGACAGTATGAAGAAAAAAAAACAAAAAACAAATAATATAAAAAAATAAAATAAAAATGTTTTAAAAATTATAATTTTTGGTTATAAACTAATTTGTGTTATTTATTTATTTATTTTTTACTAAAAAGATAACGGAATAAATTTTGGCCAAGATTTATGATGAAATATTATTTATTTGCAAAATTTTTATAAGAAAAACACTTTTTTTCAATATTTTTGGACCTTTTCATTTAAATAGCAAAAAAAATTTAAATCCCAGCGGTGAATAAATACCACCAAAATAATAAAATGTCTCAAAAAAATTCATATGGGTACAGTGTTGCATGACTGCACAATTGTCATTCAAAGTGTGATAGCACTGAAAGCTGAAAATTGGCCTGGACAGGAAGGGGGTAAAAGTGTCCGGACTTGAAGTGTTAAAGTGTTTGTTAGTCTTCAATTATTAATTTTTAAAAATAATAAACATGTCATACTTTACCTCCTCTGTGCAATAGTTTTGTACAGAGCAGCCCGACCCTGCTGTTCTCGGGTCCTCTGTCAGCGCTCCTGGCCCCTGCCGAGTGCCTCATAGCAAGCCTTTTGCTATGGGGCACAATTGTGGCTCGGCCCCACCCTGTCCCCTGCCTCTCCTCATTGGCTTTGATTTACAGCAGCAGGAGCCATTGGCTCCTGGTGCTGTCTCCGAGCCAATGAGGAGAGAGAGCCGCTGCTCTCATGCACATCGCTGGATCGAGATCTGGCTCAGGTAAGTATAAGTGGGGGCTAGGGAGAAAGCAGACCACATAAGATTTTTTACCTTACTGCATTGAATGAATTAAGGTAAAAAAAAACAACTTAGCTTTACAACCACTTTAGGGCTAACTACATTCAAAACTGATACTATTAATAAAAGTCAGCATTGGTGCACAGAATCCCCTCCTGACTACCTAAATCTTATCAAATTCTGCATTGCCAAGGTTTGAATTTATTTTTATGTCTGTCTCCTTCCTATAAACCATAGTAAAGATGTACCTCTCTTGCTGCTGGCTTTCCCAGTTTAATTCTTTTATTATGGAGAATCCATCATGGAATTGTTAAACCAACTTTTGATTTAACATGCCAACAAAACTTGGGTGGGTGTGGATATTTTAGTGGTGATACCTTCCTGCTGGAGTCCCTAAGTAATAAAAAGAAGTTTAGGATGCAACTTGCTAGTCACCTGGAAAATGTGACATTTTAGTTGTGGTTAGAGCTGGCCTTTCATCATAGACTTGAAGTAGACATTAGAAGATGGTTTAATAGTAGTTTTGTTTAGGTGGTTTGGAATTACAGTGATCGCCTTTTGTTTTTTGTAATTACTAACAGTTCAACCATTCAGGAAAAAATACCAAGGAAAGCAGAAAATATAATTGTTATGGCCAGCAGAGTATTGAGATAGAGGTTAGGATGACTCCAAACTAAAGTTGTTTTCTCTTCTCTTTAGGTGGTACTTTGCAAGTTTCACTCAGTATTCCTGTCTCAGAAAGGGCAGGTTTACACTTGTGGCCATGGTCAGGGAGGTCGTCTTGGTCATGGCGATGAACTCACATGTCTGGTATGTTTTGCATATGTAACTCCATCAGGACCTAGTAAGAGTTGTATTATGAAAAGCTGTAAAGATGATTGATCATGTTTAAGGATGAAAGAGATATTTTCCATGGGGATTATACAGAGCTTATTATTCTTTGAAAAAAGAGACAGAAGAACAGAACATTGTGTTCACGTTCATAAAGTCTTGGCAAATCGCCACGTAGGCATGACATTTAAAGTGTAGAACTATGGAAAAAAGTGAATTACAATTTAAAACACAAGCTAGGATTGTACAAGACATCATTTGTATGCCATTTCAACCAATCTCCTATTCTTTTTATTCTATATGTTCTGGCATGCAGCCTCTCTATAAAACACAATTGCCTATTATTTTGCTGAAAGCTGGTTCCAGCTGTTTTTGTTTAAACCTGATAGATCATATTATAGCTTCTATTCTTGTCCTTCATATAATGCCCTACTTCCTTTTTAAAAGTACAACTATCAGGAAATTTACTGGGGAGGAAATTGCTACATATTAATACAGAATACCAATATAAAAGTTTTAAATATATATTATTCTTTTTTCGTAAATTTTACCTGAGCATTAGCAGGCACAGTATTTAACAAAGTCTCAAATGGTGAAATAAGCGATTTACTTGGTAAAATATTTTACAGCGGCATTAAGCCCAAATTCAAACATTTACTTTTTTGCAGTTATCAATTCTAAGATGTGGTGGCTGCATTAGTTTTCTTTTTAAGCTTTCTTTCCTTTATTTTTATTTTACGGTTATCCAACCAGTAAATCAGTTGTTGTTCAACAGAACAAACTATCAAGTAAAACCTTTATCCCAAAAGAAAAAAAAAAACTGTTGCTGTAACTGCAGTGTGAGCTGGAATTTGGCTTCAGATTGTTAAATTGATTGTATCAGATTGCAGATTGTATCTAAATCTGCTAGAACATTTAACATTCCCCTCCCCTTAGCCTGACAATGCCTGTGTCCAAAGGTGCTCTCTATGACTAAGCCCTGTGGGGAGGGTGTGTGATTTGGTGGAGACACGTAGGCTGAGGCCGCTCTTTATCATTTATTCACCCGGGCTAATCAGGAGTAGCAGCGATCCTTTCCTCTTTGCATGTTCCCATGTTCTGGGTCACATGGATATGCTTTCACCTCTACTTTGAGCAGCGCAAAAAGCAATCAAACTGGTCACAGTGAAATTTCACTTTATTTCTGTTGTATATATTTAGTATATCTCTTGTGTATATAATTCATGTTTTTCTTTCTTATTTTCAAGGTACCGAGATTGGTGGAAGGTCTGACTGGTCACCCTTGTAGCCAGGTGGCTGCTGCCAAGGACCATACAGTAGTATTGACAGAGGATGGATATGTCTACACATTTGGCTTAAACACTTTTCATCAACTAGGCATATTACCTCCCCTTTCAAGTTGTAATACACCCAGACAGGTATGCGTATTTCTTGTAAAAAGAAAGCTATTTGTAGGCATTCACAGATTGGGACAGGAAAGTGACCTAGCTTTTAGGGTTAACTGGGGGGAAAGAAATCGGTCATCGGACTGGCTGCAGCCCAAGTAGAAGCATTTCCCATATACAGTGTGTGTGTGAGTATGTCTCTGTGTGTGTGTGTGTGTGTGTGTGTGTGTGTGTGTGTGTGTGTGTGTGTGTGTGTATATATATATATATATATATATATATATATATATATACAGTATCTCACAGAAGTGAGTATACCTCTCACATTTTTATAAATATTTTATATCTTTTCATGTGACAACACTGAAGAAATGACACTTTGCTACAATGTAAAGTAGTGAGTGTACAGCCTGTATAACAGTGTAAATTTGCTGTCCTCTCAAAATAACTCAACAGAACTCAGCCAATAATGTCTAAACCGCTGGCAATAAGAGTACACCCCTAAGTGAAAATGTCCATATTGGTCCCAATTAGCCATTTTCCCTCCCCGGTGTCATGTGACTTGTTAGTGTTACAAGGTCTTAGGTGAGAATGGAGAGCAGGTGTGTTAAATTTGATATCACTCTCAAATTTGGTGTTAATGCTCTCACTCTCTCATACTGGTCAGTGGACGTTCAACATGGCACCTCAAATGTCAAAGAACTCTGAGGATCTGAAAAAAGGAATTGTTGCTCTACATAAAGATGACTTAAGCTATAAGAAGATTGCAGAGACCCTGAAACTGAGCTGCAGCACGGTGGCCAAGACCATACAGCGGTTTAACAGGACAGGTTCCACTCAGAACAGGCCTCGCCATGGCCGACCAAAGAAGTGGAGTGCACGTGCTCAGTGTCATATCCAGAGGTTGTCTTTGGGAAATAGATGTATGAGTGCTGCCAGCATTGCTGCAGAGGTTGAAGGGGTGGGGGGTCAGCCTGTCAGTGCTCAGACCATACGCTGCACACTGCATCAAATTGGTCTTCATGGCTGTCCCAGAAGGAAGCCTCTTCTAAAGATGATGCACAAGAAAGCCCGCAAACCGTTTGCTGAAGACAAGAAGACTAAGGACATGGATTATTGGAACCATTGCCTGTGATCTGATGAGACCAAGATAAATTTATTTGGCTCAGATGGTTCCAAGCATGTGTGGTGCCAACCAAGTAAGGAGTACAAAGCAAGTGTGTCTTGCCTACAGTCAAGTATTGTGGTGGGAGTGTCATGGTCTGGGCCTGCATGAGTGCTGCCGGCACTGGGGAGCTACAGTTCATTGAGGGAACCATGAATGCCAATTTGTACTGTGACATACTGAAGCAGAGCATGATCCTCTCCCTTCAGAGACTGGGCCGTAGGACAATATTCCAACATAACGACCCCAAACACAGCTCCAAGACAACCACTGCCTTGCTAAAGAAGCTGAGGGTAAAGGTGATGGACTGGCCAAACATATCTCCAGACCTAAACCCTATTGAGCATCTGTGAGGCATCCTCAAATGGAAGTTGGTAGGGCGCATGGTCTCTAACATCCACCAGCTTCATGATGTCATCATGAAGGAGTGGAAGAGGACTCCAGTGGCAATCTGTGAAACTCTGGTGAACTCCATGCCCAAGAGGGTTAAGGCAGTGCTGGAAAATAATGGAGGCCGCACAAAATATTGACACTTTGGGCCCAATTTGGACATTTTCATTTAGGGGTGTACTCACTTTTGTTGCCAGCGGTTTAGATATTAATGGCTGTGTGTTGAGTTATTTTGAGGGGACAGCAAATTTACACTGTTATTCAAGCTGTACACTCACTACTTTACATTGTAGCAAAGTGTCATTTCTTCAGTGTTGTCACATGAAAAGATAGAATAAAATATTTACAAAATTGTGAGGGGTGGACTCACTTCTGTGAGATACTGTGTAAGCAAATGGGAACAATTGACAAAATGACTGAGTGGGTTCAGCGTAAGCGCAGAAGTCGCCAACTGTCTGCAGAGTTAATAGCTAAAGACTTTCAAAGTTTATGTGGCCCTCAGATTAGCACAACAGCAGTGCTTAAAGAGCTTCATGGAATGGGTTTCCATGGCCAAGCAGCTACATCCAAACCTTAAATCACCAAGTGCAATGAAAAGCGTCGGATGCAGTGGTGTAAAGCACACCACCACTGGACTGTAGAGCAGTGGAGACGTGTTTTCTGGAGTAACAAATCACTCTTCTGTTTAGCAGTCCGATGGACGTGTCTGGGTTTGGCGGTTGCCAGGAGAACGGTATTTGTCGGACTGCATTGTGCCAAGTATAAAGTTTGGTGGAGGGGGGATTATGGTGTGGGTATGTTTTTCAGGGGTTGGGCTGAGTTCCAGTGAAGGGAACTCTTAAGGCATCAGCATACCAAAACATTTTGGATAATTTCATGCTCCCAACTTTGTGAGAACAGTTTGGAGATGGCCCCTTTCTGTTCCAACATGACTGCGCACCAGTGCACAAAGGTCCATAAAGACATGGATGAACGCGTTTGGGGTGGAGGAACTTGACTGGCCTACAACCCAATAGAACACCTTTGGGATGAATTAGAGTAGAGACTGCGAGCCAGGCTTTCTCGTCAGACATTAGTGCCTGATATTACAAATGTGCTTCTGGAAGAATCGTCAAACATTCCCATAGACACACTCCTAAACCTTGTGGACAACCTTCCCAGAAGAGTTGAAGCTGTTATAGCTGCAAAGGGTGGGCCAACTCAATATTGAACCCTACAGACTAAGACTGGGATACCAATAGCGTTCATGTGCGTGTAAAGGCAGGCCGTGTTTTTTATTTATTTTATATATGTATATATATATATATATATATATATATATATATATGTGTGTGTATATATATATATACACACACACAGTAATTAGCTTACTAAGCTCTAAGTGTTTAGTTTTTTTTTTGGCAATAACCTTTGTTTCTACAGGTTCAAGCCAAAACTTTGAAAGGCAAATCTGTCATAGGGGTGACAGCTGGAAGGTTTCACACTGTCCTGTGGAGTAAAGATGCAGTGTATACAATGGGACTAAATGGAGGTCAATTAGGTATGTAATCACAAGAGTTTTTTCCTGCCTTTGTTCACTGTTAAAATTCTTATTACCACATTTCCAAAATAAATACTGTCATGAGAGAAGCATGGAAGCTACCCTTGCTGAATTCTCCTGAAAATGTTGGCTGTCTGGCTGTCATTTTTAACCCTCTTGCTTATACTACTTTGTGTTACTGACCAAGGGGGGGGGATGTATGCAAGAAAGGATTCTTACTTCTCTGACTTGTTCAGGGTCAGTGGCTCAGTGTATTGAAGCCAGATGTTGACTTATAAGCTAGGCAGCATGTGTTTTCAGATAAAGGTCAGCAGCAGCAGTCCACATATGTTTGTATCACAACAGCTTTCCCTTTGAACTCTGTCATAAAAACTAATGGCTTGGTTCTTCTAGGATACCTGGTGGACCCTAATGGAGAAAAGCTTGTCAGCTGTCCTAGACAAGTCTCTGCACTTCATCATAAAGACATTAGCATATCTCTTGTGGCTGCTAGTGATGGAGCTACAGTCTGTGTTACTGAAAAAGGAGATATATACCTTCTTACAGAGTACCAGTGCAAGAAACTAGCATCAAAGTGAGATATTTCTGTATACCTCTTACATGTATATGGTATTTTTTTTCAGTACTTCTATATTAAGAGTTTTTTTTTTCTTTTTCAGGCAACTAAACTTAAAAAAGGTCCTAGTTTCTGGAGGATATTTGGATCAAAAAGCAGATACGCAGCATCTCAAAGAAAATGGTGGGCAGTCTGTTAGTTTTCTTGCCTTGGATCAAGCTGGAAGAGTATGTTTGCCATTTATTTATTTTAAACCACTAAAGTAAAAACTGGACATTTTTTAAAAAAAACTACTTGTCCGAGGAGTCCCTTCCACTTCACTACTTGTTCAAATTGGGGTCCCAGTCTACTTTTCCCTCATGACAGCCTACTTGTCCTGATAGAAAAAAATATTTAAACCAAAACTGTATTTAGCTCTGAGGGGCTTTTAGTTGTGTGAAGTGAAGCAAAAAGAAAGATCTCACCAACCTTGTGCATTTCCTCAGTAATTTTATTAAATAAAATATATATACTCACAAACAAGGATGTAAAACAAGCATTACAGATCCTCAAAGGAACTGGGGAGTGTAGAGCCAATGTATGTCATGTCACGAGGGTAGACCTTCAAAGTGAGGCTGCCGCGTTTCAAAGGCAGACCCTTCTTCATCAGAGCTCTGATGAAGGGGGGTCTCCCTTCAAAACGCGTCAGCCTCACTTTGAAGGTCTACACTCGAGGTAATGCGCAAGGTTGGTGCTCTCTTTCTTTTTGCTTCACTTCATAGTATCAGTTGGGCTTCCCCAGCCTTGTTGTAGAGCTGCACATCCTTCCATGCACTAGTGGAATTGTTTTGAGGTTCCTCAATTCCTCCACCTCCTGGTTTGAGTCCTAGAGCGCAGGAGGTGTTATCTTTATATGTGCTATTAGTAGTGGGGTTGGGGCTTTTAAAAATGAAAGGGACTTTATGGCGACATTAACATCGCCCTGTTTATCTCCTCCTCACTACCCTGCCTGTCTCCAGCACCACACCCGGGGACTAGCAGAGAGGGGGAGAGACATTGCCGTGTGATGAGCACTGATTGGGTGCTTGTCAGGAAAGGGTAATGTCAGGCTCTCTTAACACTCAGCAGAAGCGCATCTGCTGATCATGTAGATGACGCTCCGGCCCCAATGAGATAAAAAAGTTATTTCTTCAGGATGCCCTTGCACGCATACTTTAGTGGCATGTGTGGGAGCAATCGGGTGGTAGTGGAGCTGCCCAAATGCTTTCACCTGACAAGCCCTGCAGCTTGACCACAGCAGGGCTAAATGTATAAAAAAACTACCTGCCCAGAACTGCATGTCCCAGACATTGGGCTATATAAATTGTGCATTTGGTGGTCTGCATTAAAGAAAACCTGTTGCTTTGCCCTGCATGGGCCAAGCACGAATTCAGTTTAAACTATTGCATTAATGCTTAAAGTGATATTAAAGGCTTATTTTTTTTTTAATAACTGACATGTTATACTTATCTGCTCTGTGTAAGAGTTTTGCACAGAGCAGCCCTGATCCTCCACTTCTCGGGTCCCTCGCTGGCTCTCTGGGCTCCCCCCCCTTCTAAGTGCCACCATAGCAAGCTGCTTTCTATGGGGGCACTTGTGCGTGCTTGTTCCCGAGCCCTGCTGTGTATGTTCATAAGACACACAGAACGAGGTTTGGCCCTGCTCCCTCTTCACAGGCTGTGATTGACAGCAGCTGCCTCCTGTGAGGAGGCAAAGAGCCAGGACAGAAGCTGCTCGCGTGTACATTGCTGGATCAGGCTCGAGTAAGTAATAAGAAGTGACTGGCCTCAGGTGATACACAGAGATGAAACAAATCCTCCTATATAAGTTGTACCTGTCTTATTGGCAGTCTTCTCTTCTCTAGATTCATTCAAAGTGCTGTGTTCATAAGGCTTGTAGAGCTGTCAGAAAAAAAGTGGCAGAGAGCTGAAGTTACACCCTGCAGAGCTCAATGAGCAGAACTCTGAGAACTGATTGGAGGGAAGGGACACACCCCCCTTCACACAGCTCACAGGAACAGAGCTAAAGCTGTCACTGTGCTGGAGGTCTCTCCTCTGTCACCATTTTATCTCATGGTGTCAAAAAAACTTGTCAGAACTGATTCATGCTGATAGAAGAGGAACAAAGCAGCAGACAGAAATAACACTAGTGCTTTGGACTGAGACATTCTTTATGCCAAAACAAATGAATCAACATTAGACTATCGGATTTACTAAAAGAAAAAAAAAATCCAGCACTTTACATTTTTGTCATGATTTGTTCTGCTGTACTATAAGTTTCTCAATTTTTTGTTTGAAGGTTTTTTGCTGGAAGTCTTCCAGCAGTTCATTGAAGCAATGCCGTTGGGTTTATGGCCGCCAGGTGTTTATGTCTGATTTTGCCCTTAACAAGAATGAAATGCTGTTTGTCACCCAGGAAGGCGAAGGGTTTACTGGAAAGTGGATGTGTGAAAAGAAAATCTACATGGATAAAAAAGGTAATTTTTGGAAATGTGAACATAAAGTCAAGTAACCTGCTTCAAAAATTGAAATGTGGCAAAAATAGAACAGAATGGCAATCTGGCTCGGGGGTTAATTTTCAGTATCAAAAGCGGTAACCCCAAGCCACACTCGGGATTACACTGTAGTGTAATTTACCTTGTTCCTGCGATCCCCCAATGTCCTCCCACAGTGTCCTCCGACCAATGTCCTCCCACTGTGTCCTCCAGCCGGTGTCCTCCCACTGTGTCCTCCAGCCGGTGTCCTCCCACTGTGTCCTCCAGCCGATGTCCTCCCGCTGTGTCCTCGGCCGATGTCCTCCGGCCGATGCCGGCATCCGTCTTCCAGGTTCCCTTCCCTGCAAGAGCCGTGACATGGGGCGGAACTGGTGAGAGATTAACAAAAGTAAACAAAACATGACATACACATAATACATTGTAATCTGTTAGGATTACATTACTGTATCAAACCATTTCACATCAGTTTTGTCCCTAGTGCTTTGTCCAGTGCCCTGCCTCCACTTTTACCATTCTTTCTGCCTGGAAACTTGAGAACATCCACGGCATCCAAAAAAGCGTCCATTTAGGTCAAAAGCTGTTTTAGACCAGCTAGAAAACAGCGATAGTGAATTAGAATCACTTGCAGAATTGAGCGATAATGATTCATGGGGAAATTCATCATCAGACACTGAAAGTGACGACAGCGACAATTGCAACTGAGCTCATTGAGGTGCGAACTTGGCGCTCTATTTCAAATTTCAGTGTTTTTGGTTTGATTACATTATTGAATTAAATGTATTATATTATTAGTTTTTTATAATTATTATATTATAATTTATGATTTCGTGTTTCAAACTTTATCATACCCGGGATGTTTACTAGAATCTTGTTTGGACAAGTTTAAGTGAGTTATTCCTAAGAATCAATAGCCTACAATATAAAACAACAAATTTCCATGCAAAACAATGTACCGCTTTGACATTCCAAAATATTGACATAATCAAATCATGATCCAAAAACGTGCTGGTAGGTTAATTGGATCCTGTCTAAATTGGCCCTAGTATGTGTATGTATGGATGTAAGTTGGGGACTTTAGATTGTACACCCCTTGAGGGTTAGGGACTGATGTGAATGTACAATATATGTGTAAAAGCGCTGCGTAAATTGACGGTGCTATATAAGTACCTGAAATAAATAATCAGACCGCCAGGGAGGTTAAAGGGTAGGTCTACCCAGAATTGATATCAGTGTTTCTTAGATTCTGAAGTGTTAAATCCTGTTGACTGTTTTGGTATGTCTCTTGATCTGTATGTCTCTTGGAAATTTCTGTGCTTGAGTTCACCAGGTCATCTGCTTCCTATTGGGAGGTCTAACTGCTGGTGTCCTTTAATAGATCAAAGAAGCCAGTAGGTGGCTAAACCTGTCAGACTCCACCTTTAACTAAAATAATATATAATAAATCCTTTAAACACAAATCCATGATTGATTCCAACTTCATGTTGGCAAGTGTTTTTTCACTTCAGTGAAGCCAAGCTACATAACTAGAACCAGTCAGGAAAATACATTTGTAGGAAACTAAATCTTGTCTGTTAAGCATAATAGTGCAGACTTGTCTCTCAGAATTAGGTATGTGTGTCATTATTCACGATTGTTATTTTCTTGGAGCAGTAATATCAGCTCAGTGTCAGGGGTGTAAATCCCCCCATAGCGGCTGACCTGTCAAAGCTGATAATTGACACTCTATGGGCTGCTGGAGGAAGGAACACTATCATTTAACAAAGCTTTTGGCTTTGTTCATGCAGTAATGACAGCACCTTTATTATATAGCATTTTTAAAATGTCTGTCTGTTTTCAACACATTAAGTTCAGGCAAGTGATACTTAGCCTGATATTTCTGTTCTGAAAAGGGAAAAGAAGAAAAAAAAGAATTCAAGTGCGGAAATCCAGATTGTTACAGCGCCTATAAGGTTCTAGTAGTGTGGACAATTTGTGGAACACAATAAAGGGACTTTTCAAGTAAATTAGCAACATGTAGATGCAAATCAGGCTGCCTTGCAGCTAGCAGAGTCTGTGCGATAGTTTTTATGTGCATTTGCGAACCCTGCGCCTGTAATCCTGGACAGAAAACTTCAACAGATTTGCAAAGAGCTGTGACTGATTTACCACTGGGGATAATACCATTTTTCACTGAAAACAGACGCTTCAATTAAGAAGCAGCCAGGGCCGTGTTTTATTGTATCGCAGTGTTACTTGAGAGTAGCAGAGGGAGAAAAGTATAAATGAATGAATCTGTCTTTTTTTTTTAAAGGTAAATTTAAATATTTATTAATTTTTCATGTTATTACAAAAATTCCACAAGAAGAGACACAATACATATAAATAATCAATACATTTCTACTTTTGCCCCTTCCATTTTACCTCTTTTCTCTCCCTACCCTCCCAGCCCACCTCTACCCCCCTTCCCCCCTCCCTCCCCTCTGCAAGATCTCCAATCTCTCAAGGCCCAATAACTTTAAATAACTTCCTAGTTTAAAGTTTTCTATATTTCTCTTTCAATCCTGATTTTTCCCATTTTTCCCATCGCGAATAGTATAGATCCAACCTGTCTTCCTGAGTATAATAAGATTTTTCCATTCTACTAATCTGGTTTACCCTATTGATCCAATCCTCCTCCGTCGGCACCTCCGTCTTCCACCAAAACTTGGGAATCAACCCTTTTGCAGCACTTAAGTAGTACCATACGCCTGATTCTTTATATTTATTTACGGTTGTCTCAACATTATGTAGGAGACACATGGTTCGGTCTAGCCCTATGTCATTTCCAGTTATTATTTCTATTGATTTAACTATTGTCTTCCAGAAAACCTGAATTTTTGGACATTGCCACCATATATGAAACGCCGTGCCCTCCTCCCCACATCCTCTCTCCAACACATTTTTGAATTCTCCCCCCTCATCCTGTGCTCAGTGCTCGGTGTAATATGCCATCGTGTCAGACATTTATAATTAATCTCAACGTCTCTCATACTAACACTCTCGTGAACTAATCTACATATCTTATTCTGTTGATCTTCATCTATCACCACCTCCATATCTCTTTCCCAATTTGTTATAAAAATTAACTTTGTGTCTGTGTCTAATTCTGTGAGTATTCTATAAATTTTTGTAACACCATGTTTCCCATCTCTACGTGTTTCTAATAGCCTTTCAAACATATTCCACTCCTTTTTTAATCTCAAGGGCTTTGGGAGATTTTCCAATAAAACATTTTAATTGGTGATATTTCCACTCATCTATTTTAGTAAACATATCTCCTCCCCTCTCTTTTAATTCTTTAAATGTTCTCAATTCCCCCTCTCTACCAATACGTCTCTCAGTTGGATATCTTCCTTTTTAAACCATCTCCCTGATATCTCATCTTTTCCTGGAGGGAAGAAACTCCGTGTTTGCAAGAGGCATTAATATAGAGTTGAATTCCCATTTCAAGTGTTTGTGTAGATTATCCCATGTCCTTAAAACGTTTAATGTGAAGGTGCTTGTGCTTTCTTTAATTCTTCTATAATGTGCTGGAACCCATATCATCTTACTCAAATTAATTCCACTCAGTTCATTTTCTATTTTTACCCAACCTTTCCCCTTGTGGTTAAAAGTCCAATCATAGATTCTTGCTAAAATTACTGCTTTGTAAATATCTCTTGACATCAGGTAGTCCCATCCCCCCTTTCTCTTTAGTCCTACTCAGTGTTTCATATGATATTCTTGGTTTTTTATTCCTCCATATATATCTTGTTTATCATTCTTCTCATTATCTTAAAAATGCCTCTGGGAGTTTTATTGGAATCATTTGAAATCTATAGAGTATTTTAGGTATAATTACCATTTTAACTAGATTTATACGTCCTAACCATGATGGATTTCCTCCTTCTAATCTTTTTAGTTCGTCCTTAATCTCATTTATCAGGGAAATATAGTTTAATCTATACAGTTGTTTACATGAGGTAGCAAGTTTTATTCCCAGGTATTTTATATCTTTTTCTCTCCATATAAAGGGGAATTCTTTTTGTAGCTTCTCTTTTTCGCTCTTTGGTATATTGATGTTCAAAATCTCTGTTTTTGTTGGGTTAATTTTTAGATTTGATAGTTCACCATATTCCTTCAGGGTCTTCATTATACTTGGTAGTGTTATTCGGGGGTTGCTACATAAAACAATAGATCGTCCGCAAAGGCCGCTACTTTATGTTCTATATTTTCTATCTGGATTCCCTTTACCGCTCCGCTATTCCTTATTATTGATAACAGGGGTTCCAATGTCAAAATGTACAGCAAGGGGGACAATGGACAGCCTTGTCTTGTTCCATTGGACATCCCAATGGATTCCGACCTCTCCCCCGTTTACCGTGATGATTGCGGTGGGCTCCCTATATAAATTTACCTATCCACTCACGCATTCTCTCTCCAATCCCCAACACTTCCAAGTTGTCCATCATAAAGCCCCAGTCCACTCTATCAAATGCCTTTTCGGCATCAATTGACAAGAGCACCACCGGGGCTTTTCCTTTTCTACTTTTCTGGATAAGCATCAAAGTTCTCAACCCATTGTCTCTACCCTCTCTCCCCGGGACAAACCCCACCTGATCTCCATGGATCCATTCGGGCATTAGATCTTTTAGCCTGTTTGCCAAGACCTTTGCGTACAACTTGGTATCAGTGTTTAATAATGAAATTGGTCTATAACTAGAGCACTGAGAAGGATCTTTTCCCTCTTTATGAATGAGAACGACATGGGCCTGAAGGGATTCCCTCCTCCCCTCCATCCCCCCTCCCAAGTCATTCATATACTTCTTTAACTTTGGTATCAGTACTTCACAAAATTTTTTTATAGTACTTAACTGTATAACCATCCGGGCCTGGGCTTTTCCCTCCCCCTGTACTTCTTAATGCTACTTCTATTTCTTCCAGGGAAATTTCCGCATCTAAGGAATTCAATTGTGCTTCACTAAGCTTTGGTAATCCAGCATTTTTTAAATATATATCTTCCTTTTTTCGTTAATACCTTCTCTAGTTTCTTTTGGTGAACCTTGATGACTGATGTTATACAACTTTCTATAATACTCCGTGAATACTTTAACGATTTCTTTAGTTGAGTGGACCAACTCCCCCTTAGGGCTTTTTATCTTTTCTATATAATTCCTGTTTTTCTTTTTATTCAGGGCTCTCATTAAATATTTTCCTGGTCTATCTCCCCATCTATATCTTTCGCTTAATACTTTGTTATATACCCTTCTCCTCTCCTCTTCCATCAATCTCTCTAATTCGTCTTTTTTATCCATTAACTTCTGTCTTGTTTCTATTGTTATTTTCTTCTTATGTATCTGCTCCAAATCCAGGATTTCCTTTAAGAGTCCACTAACCCTCTCTCTTCTTTCTTTTTTCTTCCTTGCTCCCATCGCAATCAAAATTCCTCTTATATATACCTTATGAATTTCCCATACTGTAGCTGTCGTTACTTCCTCTGTCTCATTCTCCTTGAAAAATACCTTAATCTCTTCCCTGATCTTCTGCACAATATCTTCATCCAAGAGAAGAGCCTCGTTTAACCTCCATCCTAAACCTCCCGTCCACCTTTTTCCCCATCCTATTTTCATTACAACTGGGGCATGGTCCGAGAAAGTTCTTGTCTCTATTTCTATTTTAACCAGCATTTCAATGAGTTGATGATCCATTAGAATGTAGTCCAGTCTCTCAAGTATATCTCATGTGCATTAGAGAAGAAGGTATAGTCTCTGTCTTTCATATGCATCATTCTCCAGGTGTCCACCAGTTGGTACTCGTGGATCACCTTCTTCAAAGCTCTCAGAGACCTACCCCCCTCTCTCCGCACAAGGGAGGTTGCATCCTTTTGTGGGTCCATACAAAAATTAAAATCTCCTGCTATTATCAAACGCCCTTTTTTAAAATCTATCAATTTTTTCAACAAAACCTTCAAAAAGATCTCCGGTTTCTTGTTGGGGGCAATATATATTGGCTAGTGTACACTCAATTCCCTGTAGTTTACCTTTCAAAAACAGGAATCTCCCCTCCGGGTCAGTCTTTCTATCTTCCAACTCAAATCTCATATTCTTTGCCAATCCTATTGCCACCCCCTTTGCTCTTTTAATTGGAGAGTCAGCATAATACCATGTTGGATAATATTTGGATTTTAATTTCACATTTGATTCTATCTCAAAATGTGTCTCCTGTAAAAATACCACTGACGTTGCCCTGTGGTGTAACTCTTTAAACAACTTAAATCTTTTCCCAGGACAGTTCAACCCATTCACATTATATGTTATAAACTGTATTTCTTCCATCTTTCTTGATTCTGTCTATCTCTCTTCTGATTCGTCTCTTCCTATTAGGCCCCCCTACTATCTTGCAGCATATCAACCCAACCTCCCCTCCCTCGGCTCCCTCCCGCCCAACCCCCCCCTTCTCTCCCACCCCCCACCCTCTCTTCTTTTTCCCCTACCCATTTTTTAGGCTTATAAACTGCCTACAAATCATTTGTGGATCTGATTCCACCTTTTGATTTAAAATTTTAGGGCGTAAGCTCCGCCCATGTACGGCTCACCTCTCCTCCGACCCCACCCCAGGTCCCCTCTCTCTATCAGCCAGGCTCAGGAAGTATCTTTACTTTCTCTCCTAACCGGAGCTTCCCGGAGGGCCTCAACTTTCGGGGGGGGGGAGACCAGGGGCGAGAGAGAGAGAGAGAGGGAGGGAGAGAAAAAAAAAAAAAAACCTATTTTCTACTAATTCTTCCTCCCTTCCCTCCTCGGCCCAGAGCCTCCCCCCCCTTCCCCTGACCCGCTGCCAGTCCTCTTTTCTTGTGTTCTCTGTATCTCCTTTATCCTCTTCTTCCCACCCAACAATCTCCATTCTTTGCAAGTCCAGTCTATCACAAAAATCCCTTAGTTCCTCCGGGAATCTCAAATAAGCTGTGGCCCCGTTTTTTTCCAGCCAATTAGTGTTGCTGAGGTACCCCATCTATACTGCACATTCTGTTTTCTCATTTGCTCCAGCAGGGGTCTCAGGGATCTCCTTCTCCCTTAGGGTCTCTGCTGTTAAGTCCGCATAAATTTGGATAGTCCAATCTCCATACTTAATTGTTGATCTTCCTTAGTTTTCTTCCAAATCTCATCTTTGGCCCCAAATTTTTGGAACTGGACAATTATGTCTCTCGGCCTGTCCTTCTCAGTAGCCTGTTTGAACTTTCCTATTCTGAACACTCCGTCTAACTTGATCCCATCTGTATCAGGTCTGTTTCTTATGGAGTGCAGAATTTTTTTTAACTAGATCGTATAGCGTTTCGCCTTTTGCAGTCTCTGGGATTCCTCGTACTCTAAGATTACACCTTCTTTCTTTATTTTCTTGAGCTTCCATCCTATAGGTCAATTTTTTCTGAGAGGTTACCAAATGGGTTATTTTTTTTCCTTAGATTATCTATGTTTTGGGCCTGGATTTTGGACTTTCTCCTCTGATTCTTCCATTCTTGTTAGCAGATGCCCTAAATCCTTTTCGTATAGCTGTCAATTCATGTTTTATCATTTTTTCCAAATTTTGAAACATTTCTATCATCTCCTTCTTATTTGGTACTTGTAGTTCACCATCAGATTCTTTTTTTTCCCGAGCCATCTACTATTTGTTGGCTACAACTGCTATTCATGCCCAGTGATAATCTAGGACTGCTTCCTAGACTAATGTCCATTTCCCCTTTTGCGCTTGGGCCCTTTCTGGTGTAATATTTCCATATGATGTAAATTTCTTTATTCCTGTTTGGGACCCTTTGAGCCCTGCTCCCTTGGAACCTTTATTCTTCATATTCTCAAGATGGGATTTTACCGCTTCTTTATGATTTATGGACCAGACAGGCTTGCTGTTTTTCCTATGTGTTTTTACTCTTCTAAGACACCTGGGCCTCCTCTCTTCTTCTCTTCCAACCCCTGGGAATCCTCCCCTCTCCTCTTTCACCCCTTGGTCTGCTCCTGTGTCTCTCAAGGGTCCACAACACAATAATCCCCCAGCAGTACTCACTCACCCTTCCCAGGTCGGTGACTCCAGGCTTGTGGCTCCAGGATTATGTGGAGGGCCTTCACTGCTGCACAGTCCTGGAGGGGGGATTCCTCTGGGTTTCCATACTTTATTTCATTTTGATTCGTCCCAGGGAAGCAGGATGGATCTCTTGATATTCATGAGTCTCCCTGACCCAGGATCAGACAGTCAGCCAGGGGGTGTTTGCAACAGTGGACCAACAGCTCCCTGTCACATCAGGAAGCCGGCCGGCCGCCTCTTTCCCCCAGTGATGCTCCGCGGCAGGTCACGTGCTCAGCAGCGTCTCCTCTCCTCTCAGCCGCACGGATCTCCCATTCATACTGCGCGGGGGATCCGGCGTGACCCTGCAGCCTCAGATCAGCTCCCATCTCCGGCTCTCCGGGTTCGCCTTCCACCCCGTCCAGACTCGGTGTGAGTCTACTCCTATTGACGGTATCTGGGTTGAATGAATCTGTCTTATTGTAATAAATCTGTCTCACTACTACTACCTGGCATTGCCTGGCTGAGTGACGGAATTGATAAATGTCCTTCAGCATGTTATCCAGTCTCTTCAATGTTCCAAGTATTTTTGTATTATTTGTAGATAAGAACATTGTTATTGCCTTGTCTGCTTTAGTCTGTGTTTGTTGTCCATATTACCCCTTTTTCTTCCAGATCCCTCTATAACAGACCCCATTCACAGTGATCCCAACAGTGTTTATGAAAGAATTTCTCTTCAGAAGCTTCCCTTTGTTCACAGGGCTGTTAGTGTAACATCAGATCCTAATGGATGCAACTTTGCTGTGTTACAGTCTGATCCAAAAACAAGGTAATGTCCCGTGTGTGTTTGTTTAATTAGTTATTTTTATTAAAAGAAATTCTAACATGTTTTGAAGTGAGTTTTGACATTTGACCTTTTTACCTGGCAGCCAGAACAAGTAAGTTAATCTGGCCATTCACATTCAGCCCTGGTTCATACATATGCAATTGTGGATGCATTTTAAAATGCTGAGATTCACATTACAAGCAAGATATAATGTTTTCCTGTTCATGCAGCTCACACAGATGTGATGCTCATGGATTGCGCTTTGAAATGCCATTGCAGAAAGAGTCTTGTGCGAGGTTGGAGCGGTGTGTTCCAAACTTGCAAGGCATAGAGTTTCGTGCCATGCCATTCTAAGATAATTTTTCACATACGTTTGCCATTCATGCTTTTTCATTAAAGTCAGTTGGAGTGATTTGTGCATGAAAGTCAATGGGAGCGATTTGTACATGTAAGTCAATAGGAGTGATTTGTGCATGGAAATCAATGGGGTAGCGATTTGTGCATGGAAGTCAGTGGGGGAGCGATTTGTGCATGGAAGTCAGTGGGGGAGAGAATTGTGCATGGAAGTCAGTGGGGGAGAGAATTGTGCATGGAAGTCAGTGGGGGAGAGAATTGTGCATGGAAGTCAGTGGGGAGCGAATTGTGCATAGAAGTCAATGGGGGAGAGATTTGTGCTTGGAAGTCAAATTGGGGAGTGATTTGTGCATAGAAGTCATTTGAGAGCTATTTGTGCATTGAAGTAGAGAAAGGCAGATTGAAAATGTCAACCATGGCAGCACCTACCTGCAGTTTACATGTTCTCCCTGTGCCTGCATGGGTTTCCTCTGGGTACTCCAGTTTCCTCCCACACTCCAAAAGACATGGCCCTAAATTGGCCCTAGTATGTGTATATATGAATGTAAGTTAGGGTCCTTAGATTGTACGGCCCTTGAGGGTTAGGGACTGATGTGAATGTACAATATATATGTAATGCGTTGCATAAGTTGGCGGTGCTATATAAGTACCTGTAGTAAATAAATAAATGGCAACAGTGGTAAATTTGCATTAAAGCTTCAAAGGTATTCACACACAATAGTATCATTGAAACGCGGGGTGATTTCTACACACGTATGTGAATCCAGGCTCATAGAAAATTTGAAAGACCCAGTTTTGGCGTAACTCCACTAAACTTGTATTGATGAGACAACTGAAGCAGAACCATAGTTTATCATATACATTTATTTTATTTATTACAGGTACGTATATAGCTCCATCAATGTACGCAGCACTTTACATATATATATTGTACATTCACATTAGTCCCTAACCGTCAAGGAGAATACAATCTAAGATCGGGGGTTGATGGGACAAACATTGTTTACCTTAAATAGATCATATAGATCACCGCCCGTACTGGGGACCTCGGTTCCCGTGCGGGCTGCGATTTCCAAAGTAGTGCAGGGACTTGTTCCTTGCGTGTCCTGGGCCACGGGAGTGCATTCAAATGAATGGGCTCTCGTGCCTGTGCAAATCACGGCCCGCACCACCGCCCAGATGTGAACCAGAGCGAAGTGAAACTTGGACACAGAACGACCTTGATGGGAGGGAGGAGTAGGGGGAAAGAAACTCCCTGTGTGTAGAATCTCAACAGCTTGGATGGGAGAGGTGAGGGGGGGGGAGTGTGAGAAGAGCTGAAGTTCTGCTGATGTCTAGGGAGCATGCAGACTGTCAGAAGCTGATGTCAGTCATAAGAGGGGTTGGATACCGACTTCAATGTCGGGATGATGCTGCATGAGAGACCTCAGCCCCTCCCACAGGTATTTTATGTGATTTCAGAAGAGTGTACATTTCGGAGGGCAGAAAATAGTTTTTCATAGTAGCAGCTCACCAGGATTCAGATTATGCAAATGTAACCCATACCTCTATTTTAATGCAGGGAATGCTTTAAGGTAAGAAATGTTTTCACTTTAGAACCACTTTAATTACTTATAAATGGGAGGGAATGTACCAATTGCATATAGCTTGATGAGCAGCTAAACCTGAGGCTGGCTAATGTTTGAAAAAAATTGATGGGGAAGACCACACATTAGTGGCTGACATTAAACTGAAAAGGAAAAAAGTTTGCTACCCATCAGAGGTTTCCTCCTTTTCTTCTAACAGTTAGAAAAATAAACAGAATGAATGATTCCTTGCTTGCTCATCTGGAAATCTTGTAGGAATAGCATGTAATTGTATACTCGCATAAAGCAAGTTAATTTTAGTACTTTTGTGTTTTGATAGCAAGTTGTAACATTAACCATATTGTTATTTTTTTTGTAAAAGTATCTAAATGATTTATGTGGATATTAAAGGCTATGGCCTCATCTTTAAACCTTTGAGGACTCAGTACAGATGATTACATTAACGCATGTACCGTACATCTCATATACACTACAGACACTGTGGGCCTGGTCTTGCAAGTGAATGCTGCATAGAATACAGTAGAAGAAAAGGCCGACACTCCGTTTGTAATTTAGCAATTTTACTGTAATACAGAAATGACTGATGTAGCATTTTAAGGTCAGGTCAAGGACGTCTTTGTCAAGGTATAGCTTGATATAGAGGTCCTGCAAAGTCTGTAAGATTTCTGTAATACTGGCCTTTTCTTCAACTATGTTCCAGATAGTGCCACCACTGGCCGCACACCCTAAATTCTGGTGTATGTGCGGACTGGACATTTCACCTGTTTGCTGCATAGAGTGGTGTACACATCAGAGTGCATGCTGCTCTATGCTGCATTGAAGGCTTACTCTAGAGAAGAGGAGGAATGATCCTGCTTGTCAATTTAAGGTATTTATGCTGGATTTTTAAATTATGGTGAGAAGGCAGGCACAAAAAGATTGGAGTTAGACTTTAATCTTGTTTTTGAATACACACTGTATGATAAAACACATTACTAATTTTGTATGCATTACAGATTAACTATTGTTCTATGTGCCTACCTTTTGTATATCCCTTTATAAAAAAGCCTATATATCGTCATAGAACATGCTTGCCATACTACTATTCACTATTTTATTTTTTTTTTCTTTGAGGGACACATGAATTTATAGTCTTTTGAGATATATATATATATATATATATATATATTAACAGTGCAGGGCCCTGTAACAGGATAAAAGTAGGTAGAAATAAAGGCAAACGTAGGCCCAGACTGATGACGATCTAGGAGACGCACAAAGCCTATGCCAGGGGCCCTCTTATCAAATGGGGGGCCAGGCTGAAAAAGGAACGATTGCAGCAGGTGTTGAAGCTGTTGGACAAAATTAGATTGTTAGAAAACACAAACAGTCGTTAGCTAACACGGCCTTAGCGGAACTTACGATCCTGCGTGCCCAGTTGAGCTCTCTGGCCATGGATAAAGCTAAGGCGATGCTTGCTAAATGTCGCCATTCTTTTTACGAACATCGGAACAAATGTGGCAAAATTCTGGCTCGGGCCTTGCGGAATCAGAGAGGTAGAGCGTTTAATCCGGAGCTTAAGGACGAGTCAGGTAGGATGGTCCATTTGGCAGGCGATATAGCGGGTGTATTCCAAAGATATTATCAATCTCTTTATAATTTGTCAGCGGAATCAACATAAGGGGGGGTGGTTGGAGTAGAGGATATTCGGCGTTATTTGCTGGACTCTGGCCTACCAAATATACCGGAGAAGGCGGTTGCTTCCTTGGATGCTCCCTTGACGGCAGAGGAGTTTGGAGTGGCCCTTTCCCACATGCACATGGGCAAGGCCCCAGGTCCGGATGGCTATTCCTTGCTTTATTACATTGATTTTTATTTTCACTCTGGAGCCATTCCAATGCATGGTGCTTAAGAATTGCGATATTCAAGGTGTTTTTGTCGACTCCCGGTTGGGTCCGAAGGTTGCTGCTTACGCAGACGATTTACTATTTTTTACTATTTTTTCTCTATAACCCTTTGGTCTCCCTCCCGAATCTTATTTCGGAACTGAAGCCTTTTGAATGCTTTGCCCAGTTCAGGATTAATTACCAAAAGTCGGAAGCCTTAGGGGTCTCACTGTCACGTTCCACATCTACCGTGCTAAAGGCAGACTTCCCTTTTAAGTGGGCAACTATGCATATTAAATATCTGGGTATTTATATGAAGGAGAGACTGGAGGATGTTTTTCAGTTGAATTTATCAGTGCTATTCGAAAAGACTTGACAAATTGACAGGGTGATTTGTTTTCCTGGTTTGGCCGCTGCAGCATAGTTAAGATGAATGTCTTACCCAGACTCCTTTACCTGCTACAGGCGTTACCACTCCGTGTTCCGCATGCATTTCTGCTTTCTGTAAACCGCAGTATCTCTGATTTCATCTGGGCTTATAAATCTCCCAGGTTGTCTCGTAACTAGTCCGGGTCTACGAGAGCCGAGATTTCAGGTCCTAAAATCGCTGGGATTCTATCAGGCCCAGCATTTTTTATCACAGAATGGTTGGATTACCATGAGCCAGCTGTTTGATTCAGTGTAATTTGCAGGACTATCTTTTTGTCATAAAATGCGATTATCTTATTTCCTTGGAGCGCTGCCAGCTGCACAAGCATTTTGGCGGGCACTTACTCTGAGATACTTTGGAGGATTCCCCGATTCGTCATGCGATTTCTCAAACTTATCAACTTTTGGTATCCCAGTCTTCATCGTACAAGTTACCTTATATTCGCAAATGGAAATAGGACTTTGGGACTACATTTTACGGACACACATGGAGAGAGACTTCTCAAATTTTCTTTTAAATCGTCGATCTGCTCTAAGTTTCAGGAGTCGGGCTTTAAGCTGCTGACGTGCTGGATTGCAGGCAATATTTTCTCATTGTAGTGATTGATGCTGGCGGTGTGGGGGAAGACTCTGGTTCCTTGTTTCACATTTTTTGACCCTGCCCTCATTTACAGGGATTTTGGGACGGCGTACACCGTATTGGTCAAAAGTTTACTGATCATGTATTTGTCAGGGACCCAGCTTTTTTTCTTTTGCATCATCACAGTTT